CATTGTAAAAAACTCAATTGGACCCAAGCTGCAAAAGATTACATGTTTTATCAACTGATGAGCGAAATCAAGTTGAAACTCTACGTGCTATGTATGCAGAATTTAAGGAGCGGCACTATTTATCTAAGTAAGTTGCTTCATCGATATCCAAATTAGTTTCTGTAACTAACGCTAATCGAAATGAAAAGCAAGCTTACCATAAAGGGTTCATTAAATCTGTTTTTTTTATCAAGCTTACAAACCCAAGATAATAACGAAGTTGCAAATTAACTTGCTCCCTGAAGGAGCTCCCATGGTATGGTGGTCTTTACAAAAATGTCAATTTCCGATTTTATGTAAAATGGCCCAAAAATTTCTTGCAATTCCTGCAACAAGCACACCAAGTGAACCCTTGTTTTCAGATGCAGGAAATGTATGAGTACAAAAAGGACGTTATTAAATAAAGCCAAAGTTATTTGGCAGAATGATATTTCTAAAGTGTAATATGAAAACAATTGATTTTACTATTCTTGATGTCTAGGATTAATGCTTGGTTGTTTTTATAATATAAATCGCAAATTATAAGTCATGTAAATACATATTAAATAATGTAGCGGTAATAGTACAGGTTGCTTTTATGATGTGCAAATTATAAGTCATGTAAATTGTATGTAGCGATAATAGTACAAGTTATTTTGTACTGTCGCAAATTATAAGTTGTAATTAAGTAATGTAGAAATAATGATACAATTAATAAATTTCATGTTATATTAAAATTTTTTATGTATTTTTTATGATTTTTATCGATGCCCGAAAATCTAGAGTTTGTGATCAATCAATGCTCGAAACTCATCGATTCCAATCTCTAGTTAAATGTTCTCAAATAGAGAACACTTTCCAATAATTTATGTTCATAAATATTTTTACATGTTCTCTAAGAACACTAAGAACATCGAATTTTAAACACTGATTGTACCTAGATAAAATAAAACTAGCATATTATATATGGGAACGCCCACAGCAAAAGCAGGGGATGGGACTATATAATATATAGTCCCATCCCCTTCTTTTGCTGCGGGTGTCCCTATATGTCTGTTTATAAAGTTCAAATATAAATTTATATTTTTATTTATACGTTAAATAAAACCCTCACACAAAAATTCAAGTAGTACACTAAGTCATTGGTATAATTCGTTTCATCGAAAGCAAGAATTTCATATATGTACATGTTTTATTCCAAGAAACAATAATATTCATCATACTTTGAAACTTAACAAATCTTAATAGAATGATTCATAATCTTTCGGCGCCAATTGGAGTAATTGTGTTCATCAGAACTGATATTGATTCTGTTAGCATAAAGGTTGATCATCATTGGAGCGTGTTCTGTGACAATAAATTATACACGTATAAATATAATGTTACTTAATTTAGTTCAATGTGATTAGCCAAATAACGAAAATCGTGAACAAACCAATGTCTTTCGCGACAAGCTTTATTTAGTGAAGTCTAACAGCTTGATTAAAGAAAACAGATATCAGAGCTGTCCATCAATATCTGATTCAAAATGTGCGCCATCTTTAGTGAAATGCTCTTGGCTACTTGATTTTCTTTTAGATTAAGACAATCAACTTGATTGTGATAAATTCAATTATATTCGTCATAATAAAATTTTGTTTTATTTCGTTAGAAACAAAAACATGAAATATACAATACATTAACTATTCACATTTTCACCCTGGATATTCAAACCAGGTGATCCTACATGCTGTGCAATGAGTTTTCTGAATTCTTCAATACCTGCGTCTACCAATTGCGAAACTTGCTGACCGTTCTTGAAAAACTTGAATGCTGGCTTAAATTTTACAAAATAATCCATTCATTTTTTAAAATTGTTCCTTTAATCTTTTTGACAAAAGCAAGAAATTACCTTTGCAAAGTTAGCATATCTATACTTTGAAATTAATTCATTAAAAATAGGCGCGATCATATGGCATGATTGGCATCACAATGTATGAAAATCTACCACAGTCTAAAAAAAGTTCGAAAAGTCTGGAAAAAAAAACATTTAAAATGATATAAGAATGATTAATTCATATATATACAAAGAAATTCACAAAATAATTAAAAAAAATTACAGCATCCGACTTCAAAGACATTTTCATCACCAATAATTAAAGGTGTCGGTTGTCTAAATAACTGTTGATGTAAGTACTTTAGTCATAAATATCTAAATTCTAAATATATTTGCTGTTAAAGAAAACGAAATACAGAGAACTCTCGTTAATATCAAGCTAATTGGATTGCTTTTCTATTC